GCGACCCCCACCCCCCCCCCCCCCCCCATGCTGCTGTAAGCATTACCTTATTTGATGCCTATTGCTATCATCTTCTTCCCGCTGCTCGTTTCCGAAAAACCCTCCAGCGCTGGTGCCAGTCTCTGATCCACAACCGACTCCACGGGTCCCACGGAGTCTGTCCGGCGTGCGGGTTCCTGGCTACGTCCATTTACTATCATTGTGTTTTCTCCCCACTCTACTGCGCATGCGCCCGCACACTTCGTCCTTCACAGCCATTTGTGAGCCGGGAGTTCTTCAGCCGGGAGCGAGCCATGCTAGAACAGATAATTCATTAGGTATTTGCCTACTTTTTAATTTTTTGTAAATCATGGGGCATATATCTACTGCTGATGCAAAACAGGACTTTAAAACTACATTAAGGTCCCATAGGTCTGCATTAACTGCATGGTTTCAAACCTTCCGTGTTATAGTGCAAGAGGTGCTTTGCCTTGCAATTCATTTTAATGGCTTACAAAACGCACCTCTGCCACAATGCACAGTACCACAATACTATGCGTTGCAGCCCCCAAAAAAGTAGTGCACCCATTACTTTCTTTAGCTGCACCACATGGTATTGCAGCGCAGTCACATGCACTGCAGCCAGAGGTGCGCGTGGGGTGCCATTCAAATGAATGGCAATGCAACACACCTCTTGCACAGTAACACACAGTAGGTGTGTGGTGCAGCAACATGCAATTAACACAACACTATGGTGCAAATGAGCCCTAACAATGTGTAAGGGGCCCATCCGCACCATGGCACTTTGCTTACCTGGACAGTGAGTGAATAGGCCCTTAATGGGTCACTTAGCAATAAGTTAGGAAAGTGTGGGAACACCTGATAGAAATACACACACATATTGCAGAGCCTGCCTAAAATCCCTACAAGAACACACTATCCTATTATAATGCAAAATTCACTGCACATATCTCACCATCCTAGGCTGTAGCGCTGCACTGCTCATCTCTCTCTTCCTGTATCCACACAGCCCCGCCCCCTCTGCTTACACAGGTAGGTTGGCCCAATGCTCCTGTAACGTCATCAAAACACGGCTACCAGCCCGTTATTGACAATCACGCCGACCAATCAGAACACGTTCCATCAAGAAGACACTTGAGGCTCCGGATTTGTGTCTGCTGCCATATACACCGCTGCTGGGAACAGCGCTGCCTCAGCGTGCACCTTGAACGCTGATACTACTTAGCCACAACCACTAATTCCACACACACACAAAGCATTCCGCCTCCACATTACCGATGACCAATAATAACCTCTACAGGCGTGGCCTAGCCCGATCCCCCGAGTCTGCTTTTCTATTGGCTCTAAAATCAGCCAACTGCCATCAAAGCTGAAGGTTTCTCCCTAGATCTGCGATTGGTCAACGTTCTACATTCCACTCAACCATTGGTTGGCCGGATTCAAACAGGTGTTTCCCGCTCCGGAATGGGGAGCTCCCATTGGCTCCCACGGTCCTTCCTTTGTCGTGATGCAGATTGATCAGCATCCGGTTCCAGTGCTCCGTGTTTTTTTTCTTTTCCCCAAAAATTGTCTTATTGTGGATTGGTAAAGCGGTGCTGGGCCGACTGTAACAGCGAAGACGGCAGCTACGGAAGAAGCGACCTGAAGGAGAAGCCGGGAACGCCGCCGCGCCGCAACCTTTCCGGGTGGATTGTGTAACGCGAACCAGAAAGGAGACGGGCGGGCGCCGGACTCACAAAAAAAACTGAATAAAGGCAAAATAAAGGAGTCGGACGCTAAACAGAAAGCCGTCTGTTGCTGTAGGCGAGCACCGGCCCAGACGCGTGCGGAGGCCGCAAACCCCTGGAAATTTTGTGGTTGACCCTGAGCGGTCGGCCGGCTTCTATTCCTCTCTCCTCCCCGCCGATTGATCCTGTGGTGTGACCCGGAGCGGTCGGGCAGCTTCTCGTCTCTTCCCTCAGCCAAGCTAGCGCCGGCGGAGGATGGCCTCGGCTCTATACGCCTGTACCAAGTGTCACCAGCGGTACCCGTTCGAGGAGCTCTCCCAGGGCCAGCAGCTGTGTAAGGTGCGTCCGCTGTGTTCGGGGACCGCTGTGTTCGGGGACCGCGCCGTCCACCTCCCTCGGGCCTGGTGGTAGCCACAGCACCTGGCCTCTGAGTCACCGAAGGACGCTGGTACCCACCATCATCAGGCCGAAGCAAAGATGGCGCGGTCACCCATAGCAACCAGTCAGCCTTCATCTTTATTGCTGAGCTCCATCCTTCTAGCAGGCGGTGCATTAGACGATTAATCTGCAAAAAAGTCATTTTCTATGATAGCTGCGTAGCCAACTAAGGGCTGTCCAGGCTCTTGAAGTATCCAGTGTAGCTAGTGGGTGGG